AGTGTGGAAGCTGTAGTAAAATGCTTTCCAAAAAAAAGAGAAAAGCCCTCCAGCTGGGCATGATGTTACACAACTATAATCGAGCACTGTGGGAGGCTGAGGCAGAGGCCTGGATTTGAGCTCAGTTTGGGAAACTGAGTGACACCCTACCTCAAAATTAAAACCAAAACAAAAGGGTTGAGAAGGTAGTTCAATGCAAAGGCCCCAGGTTTAATACCCAGTGCTGAAAAGAAACAAAACAAAACAAAACAAAGAAACCCACAAAAGCTCAAAATCTGAGTGTTTTCAATAAACCTTTCAATTTATTCTCTGGTTTCTCTTCAGACTGTATAAATCTTTCGCCTTTTACTAAAGATTTCCGTGGAAGAAATCTCTCAATTTGAAGATAGATAGAGGCTGGGGATTTAGCTCAGTGGCAAAGCGCCTACCTGGCAAGTGCAAGGTCGTGAGTTTGATTCCTGGTACCAGAAGAAAAACAAACAAACACAAAACAACAACAAAAAAATAGACAGTTGGGCATGGTGGCATATGCCTGTAATCCTAGCACCCAAGAGGCTGAGGCAGGAGGATGGCTGCATGTTTAAGACCAGCCTGGACTACTTAGTGAGACCCAGTTTCAAAAAAACAAAATAAAGTGCTGGGGGTTTAGCTCAGTGGCACAGTGCATGCTTGGCAAGTGCGAGGTCCTAAATTCAATTCCCAATACTCCTCCCAAAAAACCAAAATAAATAAATCAAACATAAATTGAGCATGGTGATGCATAGTTGTAATCCCAGTATTCATCAATTTAGTGATTTACAGAGATCGTGTCTCAAAATAAAAACTAAACAAATAGTTGAGTATGCAGTTCAGTGCAAATGCCCTGGCTTCAATTCCCAGTACAGGGAGGAAAGGAAGGGAGGTGGGTAGGTGGGCACGTTGAAAGGGCAGAGAGAGAAAAGACAAGTGGTGAGGTATGCCTATAATCTCAGCATTCTGGGAGGCTGAGGCAGGAAGGAGAATCACTAGTTCAAGTTCAACATGGACAACTTAGTACTAGCAAGACACTGTTTCAAAATAATAAAAAAGGGGCTGGGGATTTAGCTCAGCGGCAAAGAGCGCCTGCCTGGCAAGCGCAAGGTCGTGAGTTCGGTTCCTGGTACCGGAGAAAAACCAAAAAACCAAAAAAACAAAAACAAAAACAAAATAATAAAAAAGAGCTGAGTGTGGCGCACACCTGTAATCCCAGCACTCAGGAGGCTGAGGCATGATGATTAATTACTTCAAGTATGAGGCCAGACTGGGCTACAAAGTGATTTCAAGGCCTGAACTGCACAGTGAAATCCTGCCTCAAAAAAGATAAATAACAGTAATAGGACCAGGGAAATAGCTCAGTATCAGGCATAGCACCTGCCTGGCAAGCACAAGGTCCTGAGTTTGATTCCCAGTACCAAAAAAAGGGAAACAAAAACAATAATAAAGAGCCAGGGCTGTAGCTCAGTGCAAAGGTCCTGGGTTCAATCCCAGTACTACAAAATAAACGAACAGGGGCTAGGGATTTAGCTCAGCAGCACAGTGCCTGCCTGACAAGCGCAAAGTTGTGAGTTCGATTCCTGACACCAGGGGGAAAAAAAAAAAACAACACACACAAAATAAACAAACAGACAACTAATTTAAACTCCTACCAAACACTTTTTTGGTCATCACTTCTTTAATTTTTAATTTTTGAGTAGTTCGG